TCATAAATAATCTAAATATATTCACTCAATTTTTTTTCGCGGTAGATTTTCCGCTGGAAACACCCAAATGTGAAAAATTACAAAGTTTTTTTTTTTTAATTTAATACCCATCCTACTATGCAAAACAAAACCAAAATGTAACGAGGTTAAAAATTTACAAAACATGTATTTTTAATTTTTTTATAGAACCCCTATTATCTATAAAAATAAAATAAAATCTGGAGGAAACCCGTGGCCGCCGTTTGTTTTAGTACTTCCAGGGGGCCCGCACCACGGAAAGAGCCTAGGGGCCCATAGATCTTAAATCCGGCACTGATTACTAATATAGATGTACTAATTCTATTTTCCTTCTTTGCTTGCATATTATATTCATGTACTTTGCCGGAATTATACCGGGCAGTAATTTGAGCTCCGATATGCTCAGACGGTGTATTCTCTCTCAGGCGGCCACAGTAGAAAAGGATCTGGTCTGATTATGCATACTTCGCATAAATTTCAAAGTGTGAGGTTAAAGTCTGTTGAATGCATTTTGTGTGTATTCCATTATCGATAATTTAGCAGAACTTGTAAAAAATTAGCGATCTGCTGTGTTTTGATTTTGCCTCACATTTTCGTAAGTGCCATTTCAATTGCAGTGGCACCAATAGCAAAATGTTTACAGAGATGCATGGAAACCATTCATTAGGGGAATTCACGATTCTATCCATTTAACTTTGGGAACAAGTAAATAATAGGACCACTTTTCAAAGCATTGATATGGTTTGATATGTGTATATTATACATTATGGGAATTTGCAATTTTTATTAATAAAAATTGGTTTTTCTTAAAAAAATACGTAATGAACTATATTAAAAGATATGCACAAGATAAGAAAGAGCACAAAAACACCTATAATTAAATATATGATTTATAATAACAAATTCTCNTTTTAGTAACTTTAACGAGATCTTAACTTATTTTATTTTATTCATTTTAGTGCAGTTTTGACAAAATTTTCTTGCTAAAAAATCTTTTGTTACACTACTTCATTTTATTCCTTTGATTGTACGGTTAATAAAAGCTTCTTTTTAAAAAATGTTTTTTTTATAAAGTCGTTGTATATTAAAAAGTGTTATTTTATTTTATGTAGATAATTTTGCAATAGATATTAAAATAATTCAACTTGCAATGAAAGAGAACAGAAGACTTGGCAAGCAAAATGTTGTTTGCTTACGTTTTGTATAAGCATACATATGTACATATAGCAGCAGTTAATTTTATTTAAAGAAATGGCGTGTCGACCATTTCCGCTGTAGCATGGCATATATTTAGGCGCACTATTTAACTTCTTCTTGCGGGCGACATCTGGAGTCTTCTAATTCCTACAACGAGGTTCATATCGAGACTAGATTGATATTTAGAATTTGCCACAGATAGCTTTGCTAGACTACCGCCGCGGCGCGCCGGCAGCTTTAACAATTTTATAGTGGTTTTACGTTCTTTGGCAAATTACGCTCTGTTAGCCATAAATCTTACTATTTTTTGACCGCCTTTGAATCAAGACCCCTGGACCATATGGGGAAATCATTTATATTTTAAATTGCATTGATTGATTGGAACTATGCTGAAAATTTCAAGTCTCTAACTTGTCGGGAAGTCAGTTTAAAATCGATTGGAAATTTCTGCGATTTGCGCGGGACGACCAAGGTAAATAAAAGCTTATAAAAACTCTGCAGGCGAACATTTGGAAGAAAATATCGCGCTATTTTTTATTCAAAATTTTAATTTTATATTTAAACATCGTTTTATTTGAAATAAAATAATAAAATATAATATCAATGCAGTTGTTTTATTTCGCTGTTGGCAGTTGTCCTTAAACCTAACTATATAATGCTATATATAAAATTAAAGGGTATTTTTATGCTTTTTATAGCAAAATATCGTTTAATATATGAAGTTAATTACCTCTTTGTTTCAAAAACATACTTATTATATTTACATATTTTGACAGATATTGCATAGAAAATTATGTCAAACTGCAAAGGACTTTAGTGTCGACTTAATTTGGACTACAAATATACCCCATTAAAACCACTTAATATCCACTTGAATGAATTTTTCTGTAAACAAATTCATTTACCTAAATAAATCAAAAATCAACTGTTTTGTTCACACACCGTGAATAACCCTATTGCGTCGATTCATAAGGTCGTTAGTAGAGAATGGAGGGCCGGAATCTTTGCTGTCAGCACGAACTCGTGCGGGCCTGGGCGTTCAGTAAAATTTCATAAAAGCACGTAAAGGCACGAAAAGCCAGTTGCTAATACTAAAAATTTAGATGAGCTTTTGTTTTTATACAAAAAAAAAATAATAGTTCATATTTAAAACTCTTTTGATAAGAGAAAAGCAAAAAAAGAAATATTTGGAAACCGATAGAAAATATATAATACTTAGTAGTTTTGGTTACATACATATCTGTACATAAAATACCTTTAACTTTTTCTACTTCCCAGAAAATATATTATAAAAATCTTTGATGTAAAATATTGATTCGCTTAAGTAAATATACATATGGCCATGAACACAAAATTAAAAATATGTTCATATGTATGTATACATACAATAAAAGTTGGCTCTTTATTTCCGGGCTGGGGCGTGACCCGTCGTGCCGGGCCGGGCCCCACTAAAATTCTTAACGTGTGGGCTTGTGCGTGTTTTGAAAGTTGATTTTGCACTCGTGCCGGGCCGGGCTTGAAAATTTAGACCCGTGCCCATCTCTAGTTGGTAAATTTTGTTGCATGCAAAGCACAATCAGCTTAAGTCTTGTAAAGTTGTGTTACGTTTAAGAAGTTGCGCGAAGTTATGCGAAGTATACATAATCAGACCTTTAAGTGTTGATAAAATTTCAAATTTTGAAATGCAGCGGAAAACATACATTTGTCTTCACGGAGAACTCTTGGATCTAGGTCAGCGATGGGCAGAGAGATATTTTACTCTGCACGGTCCTATACAAAATATATAGAAAAGCGCTTTGCCCGTGGTAAAGGCAGGGCCCAACGCCGATCTAGGTTAAAGAATTCAAAAATGAGTAGTCTACTTGCAATGTGCACTATGTAAAATTTTGTCGATTTTTAGTTTTTGGTGCGTACCGTACCAGTATTTAAAGTAGTTTCATGTCCACTTACAACACACTGCAAAATCTTTCTATATTCTGAAAAACGTAGCATCAAATGTTAACTACTCTTGCAAAAGTCGCTACAATGTAGCTTCAAATGTTAACTACTCTTGCTAAAGTCGCTATAGTACAAGAATGATAGAATACAAGATTGCGCCGATCAGAGAGGATTTTTGAGAATAACTTTTGTGTGACGTCGCACTGGTGCAATTGCGAGAGAGAAATGCCAAAACGTGAGCAAGAATGGAAGAAGAAGAAAAAATGTTGCAAGGAAAATGTAAACAAGATGCACCAGTGTGACGTCATGCAAACGACGATTCTGTCAAATTCGTTAAGAGAGAAATAGCGGTCCGAGATCGGCGCAACCTTTGTATTCTCTCAATCGTGGCTATAGTACTTATTTATACACTCTTAACAGTCTCCATCTTCTTATAAACTTAGAACACTGCAAGAAAACGTGTTAGTTTCGGTGCCTAGTGCAAGAGGTAGTAAAAAAGAAGCAGACCAATCTTCATTGAGGAGAGAACTCAAAAAGCTAAAAAAAAAGCTCGCTATTTAAAAGTTACTGTTTCAAAACTTGCTATATTCAATTTATAAATATAAAACTAGCAAAAACTACCATACTGCAATTTTATTTTTTAATGTTATTAAGCGCTTATTTATCAAAATTTTCAGGTAAAAAATATACTGTTAGGATGTTACTTGTAGTCATAGACGTTTTTTTTTTAAATTTATGGCTTACTTTTATAAAATCACATAACGCTGTTCGCAAGTGGACTACTCAAATGTATTACAAGAAAATCCCTTTTCTAAATGTGCGGATTTTACTTTTACCTTACTAATTTTATCTTAAGGATAGAAGGAAATAAAACTTGTCAAACAAAATTTTGCAAAAAAAAAAAATGATTCGTAACCCGAGTTTATACGGTCCATTCAAATATCTCAAATTGCAGATTTCAACAGTTTGTAACGTATTTTTAGTTCATTGTCTATTTTATATAAGTATACGCATACATATAGGTCTTATCAGTGCCGTAGCAATGAATTCGAAATATATGCTCCTATTTTGGTTGTAAAAGTTTTTTTCAGGACTTAAATTTATAAAACTCTTTGTGTTTATTAAAATTGCGGAAAATTTTAAATCAGCTTTACGTCAATAAATGCTCAACTTAAAAAAAAATTAGCTCTTCATTTTAGCTACTATTAGTATCATTTAGCTTTTTTTAGCGCCCTTTTCCGACCGTTTTAGCTCTAAACGAAATTTGCTTCTGGCGACACTGAGTATAAATTCGATGATGTTTTCTGAAATTTTGTTTTGCACAGCCAAGATCCCGATCGCAGGGCAAATACGATTGGCCTTTTATTGAAAAATAATGATAGATTTTGTTGAATCTCTTGGTATCCTGTAACGCTAAGAGGAAACACCGCTTGCTTGGTTGTTTCTCTTTTATATTTATATATGTAGTGGCACCAACTGTAGTGGCACTATTTAGTAAATTAAACTCAGTCGATTAAGAGACAAATTTTAAACAAAACTGCTATCTTAATATAAAAGATCAAATTTTGGACTTGTACGGTTGTCGAACTCACTGAGTCAACTAATGGAGCCTTTTATGCAGTTCCTGAAAAAAGGAGGCAACAAGAATGTGCATAATGTAAGTATGATTTAAACGCATTCTCTAAGTATAAATATGTACATCTGAAAGTAAATATGTACATACAAATATTACTACTAAGTATCTGTTTATATACATACATATATAATATATATATAAATATGTTCACGTTATATTCACAATCTCTTATTCTTACAATATCTTATTCTTTTATTCATAGTTGGTTTACCAAAGTCGTCAAGATTTTGCAGAAAAGTTTTTTATGATCTTAGTTTATGAATATGTACTTCTACCAAAACGCATGTGACCGTAATCGTCGAATTGCTCCTCACCACCTCGTTTTCCGAACCGCATGTGACCATAGTCGTCAAAACGCTTGGATAGACTGCTGTCCTCATTTTCCACCAACAAATCCAGTTCGATAGGTATTTTAGACCGTGATATTTGCAACATTTGCGGACCGAGACCGTATAGAGGCCGCATATTATGATAATTGCCGAGAGAACGTCTACCGGTGGCATCACCATATGATCTCAGAGGCAATCCATTTGAGATTTCACTACCGTCGTTCGAACTCATATCACTTAATTCTGCCTTGTTTGTCCCTAAAGTATTTGCTGAAGTCGAATTAAATAAAACACAGAAAAGCGAGATGAAAGTTATTAATTCTGGTACGCTTGACATGCTTTGGATTGGAAAAATTATAGGTGCTTGCGCTAAGGACACGTTTCTTCAATTGATTTCAATAACTAATGGCGATGCACCTTTTATAACGAATGAAAGACACAAGAACTTAAAATACATGGTTTTTCCTTTTTCGCCTTTTTAATATTCCACTGCATTTTTTAAATAGCCTCTTCAACTCTGCGCTTATCATTTAAGCAAATTCAATTACAAGTTCTTTCTCGCAATTTGACACATAATTGGCAGGTGTTCGCAGCTTCTGAAGAATATTGTTGCATAATAGATTGACGAGCAAAGGCGTTAGTTATTCTTATATCCTTCATTATTTATGCTACGGAGTGCTAAAACATTGTACAGACGGCGCACAGTGGCGCGTTTGATCAACTAATCCGGACAAAATGCATTGTCCAATTTTAAGATTGTCTTTAAAAGTCTCTTTTAAATTGGTTGAACCAAACATCGTATAAAAGGAACACAATTAGTGATATCTTTTGATATTGGTGCATCACAGAATGCTTATATATATAGGCTTTTATTTACCAATAAATATTATAACATTTTTCTAAAGTGGGCAATCCAAATGTTGCACCGCGTTATACCGCACAGAGTGACGTCCCCATATAAGCTGCGGCCAAAAGTAGTAACCGTCCTACAAATTCGCTAAAATTTCGTACATGCGCTATTCTGAACTTAAGAATGAAGAAATGTGGAAAATTTTAAATCTCGACGCTCTACCACGCCCGAGCTCTTGTAGGCGGAAATAGTATGTAAATGTTATCCGATTTTGATTAAATTCATATTATATTCTGGTTTTGACTATAAAAGCACAAATCTGAAAGAACGCCAAAATTGGTTTACATTATCTTCCACCAATTCTAGAAAAAGAAGCACAAATTTAAAAAAATAACTTTTTTTTTAGAAATTTGGTGTACACTGCTCGTATACGCTAAAATTTTCCAATTTGGAAGATAATAAAGAGCTTCTTACTATAACGCCCACCCCCTATTTATTTATTTCAATTACGGTACAAATCTAACATAACAACCCGGTGGTTTTACTTTAAAGTGTTAGATGTTAGGTTACATGTTTAAGCACAAATGCATTTAATAATTTAACTACAGTGAAACCCGCTTAAGTACCTAACCCGCATAAGTAACCAACATTTTTGGGCAATGTAAATTTTTGAATGTAATCTGAATAAAAGCCCTCTCTTAAGTACCTCCCTGGTTATTTTCCCAACCCGCCTAAGTACCTCAATTTTTCGTACATTCGTCTCATTGGCAGCGTTACACACCTTCGGCAAAGAAATTATAAAAAATCAACGGTAATTTTTAGCCACTCGAAACTTGCACATTATTATACTAAAATTGAATGGGCTATAAAACTGTATACTCAAAAAATACATCTGAGAAAAAAATTTTAAATTTTATGAATTTTTTCATTAAGTGTTCTATAAAATCTTAAGCTTAGGTTTACATGGTATTTATTAGGGAATGAAGTGTATTTTAATTGAAAAATCCTTAATAAATACGTATACTTCAATAAATGTTTATGTTTTATTCAAGGATTTACATGTTTATGTAAGTTAACAAAAAGATGTAACTACATCAATAATTAAGTACCCGCGGGTTCTTTTAAGTACCCAACCCGCTTAAGTACCTCAAAAAGCTGACATTTTTCGTGAGGTACTTAAGCGGGTTTTACTGTAGTAACTTACTTTCTATTTGAAAACGAAGAGTCGCGTTAATTATAATATATGATATAGATAGTGGAGAGGAAAATTGTAAAAAAGAGGCTAGGTATTTGAGAATAGAATAAGACAAAATGACAAGAATCAGGTAGGAAAATGAGCAAAAATTACAAAAAAACTGTGATCAGTTCTCAATTCTCAATCAATTCTCTCTTAAAGGGCAGAGCGCTACTGATGATTCTGATTGCTAGAGGTAAAGCGTTCCAAAGACCGATAACAAAAACAAAAAAACTCACGTTCAGATTTAAGGCAATTGTATTTAATATAAATAATTTGGATCGGGGAAACTGTAATCGTTCATGGAGATATCTAGGCTCCTGGGTGATTAAGATTTTGTGACTATGTCAAACTCAGTGGCATTTGTCGTCAAATAAGTGAAAACACATTGTCAAATGGGACCAAAAAGCGGTTTATCGACTGATTTTCATCTGGATAGGTCTTTAGTCGTGTACATGCGCTGCTAAATCGACTATATGTCTGTTTTTGGCCTATAATATCATCGATCAAGGTATAGATAAAGGAGATAAAGTTGTGTCAAAATATGTCGCCAAATTTTGGCGTCAAAATATGACATAGGGAAAACCAGTCTTAAGGCATTTTAGCTCCAATAGCTTATCAAAAGATATACCCACGATCTTAATGCTATATTTAGAGATATGTTCGCGGCATCCAATTCCGCAAACATATCTGGCGGTTTTGTTATAAAGAGTGTTGAGTTTTTTCTTGATCACACTATCACAGTTAGCGTACAGCTCGCATCCATACAAAATTGTCGGCAGTAAAAATGTTTTCGCTGGCGACAGGTAATAAGATCAACGGAAATAAGGTCAATTGACTTTATTTCCCACCCTGATGCGAAATAAAGTCAATTGACATTATTACCTTTTTAAAAACGAAATAAAATCAATTGACATTATTTCTCTTTCAAACATTAAATTTGCTTAGCGTCGCGGCGGCCCGCGTACCCTGCGCGACCGGCGCGCACACCACGTCACGCTACGCCGCGGCCCCCCCC